CTGTATTGAAGGAGGGGGCCAAGCTGGGGGTGATTCCCTGGGGAGGAGCTAGGCTGGACGAGCCGCCTCCTCGTCCGGCATTGGGTCATGCGTCAGTCATCTGTCCTGCATCCTCAGTGTCCACAGAGAGGTCCGTGACCACTCTCCATTCTGCTGAGGGCGCCTGCTGCCTTACTCTGAGGGTCATGCCTGGGCGACTGGAGCAGCACGGGGCTGCTCAGCGTTCGGGGTATAAATATTTTTAGCTTCCCAGCCACCACAGGGTCTCAGGTGGCTCCTGGCTACCACAGGGCCTCAGAAGGCTCTCCTCCAGTGTCAGGCCCTCACCCAGCATTAGACCCTAGTCCAGCATCAGGCCCTCCCCCAGCATCAGACCCTCCATCAGCATCAGGCCCTCCCGCAGCGTCAGACCCTCCCTCAGCATCAGGCCCTAGTCCAGCATCAGACCCTACCCAGCATCAGGCCCTCCCACAGCATCAGGTCCTAGGCCAGCATCAGACCCTCGCACAGCATCAGACCCTAGTCCAACATCATAGCTTCCCCCAGCATCAGACCTTCCCACAGCGTCGGGCACCTCCCGCATCAGACCGTGTGCAGCATGAGAACCTAGTCCAGCATCATGCCCTCCCCCACCCTCAGACCCTCCCCCGGCCTCAGGCCGTTCCCCACTATCAGGCCCCCCACCTCCAGTATGAGGGGTGGCAGCTCCACTTGTCTGATGCTCGTGAGCACCCTCAGGCAGCCCCAGAGCAGCAGGACAGTGGCTCTTGCAGGAGGTGCATCTCCAGGAATCACCTGTGGAGCCGCAGCAGCTCGGGTCTCTTTCAGGTCAAGGAGAGGTGAAGGGGCACTTGTTCAGGAGGCCGCCGTGGCTGTGGGCACATTCCCCAACTCTGCTTCCTCCCCGTGGGGGCTCTGCTCTCCTGCTCTCTCACGGGCCCCAGGACTGTGTCCTTCCAGATTCACAGTCGCCTTGATATCTCAAGCCTAAGTCCTGAGTTGCGTCCCAGTCTGGTGTGACGAAGGGCTGGGAACAACCAAGCTCAAGGACTGAAAGGATCCCAGGGGTACAGTCAGGCCCGAGCGGGCGGCGGGGCAGGGGTTGAGGGTGGCCGCCCACAGAGGGCCCTGCAGCAGCACTGGAAGAACAGCAGTGATGCCTTAACTCACTCGGGAACGCTGCCCGGCCTAGCACTCAGAGATGTTACCTCCAGCAGCAGCTCTGGGGACGCAGGAAGCCCGGTGAGTGACACCATGCCACATGGGCTGTGTGCGTGGGCAGTGCTGACCATGGCCTCGGTTTTCATTCTGGTTCCAACTGTCCCTCCAAGGGCTGACGGGCTCCTCTTCCGAATGGCACAGATGTTTTCTTTATGTGGGTGAACGCATCCCTGCTTGTTTCTGTCGGCACTGTTGTCCCTCCTCGTGTGTTTTCCTCTTACAATCTGTACTTGCTGCTCTTCCAGTTTAAAATAGGAGCAGTCCTTATTTTCTGCATTTGCTAGTTGTCAGTGTTCACTGGGGCTTTCCACGTGGCGCTAGCGGTAAAGATCCTGCCTGCCGATGCAAGAGATAATGAGACATGTGGCTTCGGTCCCTGGGTGGAGAAGATTGCCTGGAGGAGGGCATGACAACCCACTCCAGTATTCTTGCCTGGAGAATCCCATGGACAGAGGAGCTAGTGGGCTCCATTCCCTGGGGTCGCAAAGAGTCAGACACGACTGAAGCAGGTTAGCACACACTCAGGCTTTAGTTCAGTCACTCGGTTGTGTCCGACTCTTTGCCACTCCGTGGACTGCAGCAGTCCGGGCTTTCCTGTCCTTCACTATCTCCTGGAGTTTGCTCAAACTCATGTCTGTTCAATCTGTGATGCCATAGAACCATCTCATTCCTGTTGCATCCACCAGAGAGGTGGCTGGGGCTCGGCAAAGTGCATGGTCCCACTGCCTGGGTGTGAAGCTGCCCTCACCACTCCCTGACCGCGTGACCATCACTGTGTCTTCCTCTGTAAATCGGGAGGTGGCATTACCTGCTTGGGAAGGGGCACAGGCAGCATCTGGTATATAATCAATGCACCACCATCTCAGCATTGTATTTATTAATAAGAGGGATAGCATTTAATAACCTGCTCCTTTTTCTCTCTTGGCACTTAACTGTGGTCTAGACCACATCTGCTTTACTTCCCCCTGTAAATCCCACACCCAGCACAAACAAGACATTCAACAAATTTCTGGCTGAAGAGGCAGGAATATACCCTGTCCTCAAGGAGATGATGCCGAGCGAGCGAGATGGGGCCTGATGATAACACTGTGTGATGAGGAGACCCCAGGAGGACCTGTGTGGCTGTGGTGTGGGGTGGGGGGCATGGGCAGAACCCCTGAGAGCTCCTGGGGACGGGGAAGGTGGCAGGAAGGAGGAGGAGGGCTGTGCCTTGCGGGGTGTCCACAGATTGTACCTCACCCCTCACTGATGAGCACTTGGGCCGTTTCCAAACACTTGTCACTGTTCTGGGGGAAACAATCATTGCCCAGCTCCTACTCAATCAACTTCACAGAATATGTTTCTAGCACTGGAGTATAAACATCTGCTTTATTCATTCCATCCTCCGTTCATCCAGCCAGCCATCTGTTCATGCATCCATCCACTCACTAATCCATCCATCCATCCATTCACAAATTCCATCCACCCATCGAGCCAGCCATCGGTTCATCAATCGATCCACTCACTCATCCATCCATCCATCCATCCACCCACCCAGTCATTAACTCATCCGATCATCTCGGACCCTCCGAGAAGACAGACGCCTCCTCCGCTCCTGCTGCCAGGAGGACCCTGAGCGTGAGTGACAGGAGCCTCATGGGGCAGCGGGGGAGACACAGAAGGGACATGCTGCAGTCCCTCCTCCTCTGAACGAGGAAGCACCCACCTGGTCCTAAGGCCTCCTTGTTGTGGTGTCCAGGCCGGCCTCTTTCCTCTTTCCAAACAAGCGGCCGATGGAGGACCTGATGCCCTTCTTTTGGGCCAAGTCCAGGCTGCTGCTGCTGCTGCTGCTCCTGCTGCTGCTGCTGCTGCTGCTGAGGTTGCAGGTTGAGGGAGCTCATTGATTTAAAACGACGAAGGCTGCCTGAACTCGCCTTGCCCACCCTGGTCTCAGTCTCCTTGACCCACTGCTCCGTATTCTCCTTCTCTTCTTGAATCCACCTAAAAGAGAGCAAAACTCGTCACCTGCCTTTGTCAGCACAGGAACGTGTCTGGACAACAAATTTGGGCTTGCATTCTGTGTCATGATTAGCAAATTCCAGGAACAGTTGCTCAATTAACATCGCAGCAAAAAGGTTCGACTTTCCCTCTTTGGAATATTCTCAAACTTAGTATAACTTAGCATTGAGTCTTACAAACTGGCCCCTGATCATTCACGTTTGGTTTGACTCATTTACTCTAACATTCTGACGGGGCCTGGGTGGCGACACTCTCCCTGTGAGGAGACACCTGAAGTTGACAACCATCACCATCCCTGCTCTCAGGGCTGAGGTGCATGTCAGGGCCTCGAGTCTTTTCCACTGGGAATCAGGAGCTCTGCACAACCAAAACAGCGATTCCCCAACAAGCTGGAGTTTCTAAACACAAGTCTCCAGACCAGATGAAGTGCTGAATTTATCTTTTTTATTTTTTAAGGGTGTCTGTGTACCAACACATCACTTGATGAAGTTCTCCCCCAGCTTTGTGTGAGTTTCTGGATTCATGTCTATGTGCCACATTCACCTAGAATTCACGGTTACTGCTCTTCTCCCCTAATGTGTCAAGGATGATTTTATATAGCAGTTTAAATCCTAGATTATGCATATAAAATGATTTTTTTTTAAAAAATACAAGATTCTTGCAGGTCGTAACCTCTCCAGATTCACTACTTATACGTCTTGAAAGATTTTCACTGGTGACAAGTTGAAGGATAGAATTTACCCTTTACATCAATCAACATATTCCATAAGGAAAAATCACTTTTACCTGACAACGTGCTGTAAAAATAGAAACATTAATATGTAACCGTTCCATATTTCCTGCGGGGACGGGGAAAGACAACCTTTCTGAGCTCGTCTATGCTCAAACATGGCCCAGGAAGCAGTCTGTCTCGGCGCCAAAAGTGCAGGCGGCACCACCTGCCTTTGCTGGTTGTGCCGCTCACCCCTGCCTTATCCCTGAACTCCCCGCGCTGGGCACACAGGAACGGGCACCTCGGCCTGGGCTGACGTGACGAGAACAATCTGAGCAGCAGCTCTGCCGGGTCCTGCGCAGGGTCACCGGCCCGTGGCCACTCTGAACGTAACCTCAGGACAGGAGGCACGGCTGTGCGGGTGTGGCCCAGGCAGGCCTCGGGGCCACCGGCCACCCGGCTGCACCCAGACCCATGGCTCCCTGCTCACCACGAGGTGGGTCTTCGGATTCTATCCCGCTTTGTAAACTGTTATAACTGTCAAGACGGTGTCTAAAGAAAACATCTTAAACATACTGATGAGTTGAGAAAAACTCAAACACATGTCCTTGGACCAGTGTCTTACAAGAAGCCAATCTTCAGACTGTTAAGTTGAAAAGGAAAATGCAGATCTGAGGGGGAATTTGCCAACCCCAAACCTCAGCTTTTCTGTTCCAGGTGGCTTTTCTCCAGAATGTGGGAGGCTCCGAGGAACACATGAGGGCGAACCCTCAGTGCTGGTGGGTTCACGGGCCACAGGGGACACTGCCTCGGCACCTCTCCCAACTTGGGGCTCAGAGCTGGGGGGGGACACCCCACAACGCCCCCTCACCCCCACAGAGTGCTGACACCAGCTGTGGACAGAACACCCTGGCTGACTCAGCTCTCTCAAGGGCGATCTCAGAACTGAAAATCCTTAAAACAGGCCTGTAGTCAGTGTTCTCACTATGGAACACTCACACTTCTCCTAGGTGAAGACAGCTCTTCGGAGAAGCCCAGTTTTTGGGGAGCTGAGTTTGGGCACACCCACCGGATCTCTTCATTGATGGCGTCCAGCTGTTGCTGAAGCATCGCAGACAGAGTCTCGGCATCAGCCTGCCCGCTGGGCGGCAGCTGAGCGGCCGAGCTGAGGAGGGTGACCCCGTCGCCCTCGCCGTCAGACACACCTTCGTCTCTCTCGAAGGCTTGGGCAACGGTAGCCGGCACGCGGGCCTGCTGTCTCAACTGAAATAAAAGGGGCCGAGTCACTGTGTGCTGATGTGGGCATATACCTTAGTGCACTTCTTATTGTGTACTCACCTGATGACATGGCAACTGTAACAGAATACACCGAGTGTCTCTCATTGATCTCAATGTCAAGGATCTCAGTCTGCTTATTCACAGCTTTAAACTCTCAGTTTGAGAGGGAAAAAATGTTATCCTAAAACAATTCTATTACCCAGTTTTTAATTGCAAATTGATAGCCAGAATATAATAAAATCTTGAGACATTTATGCCAAGTAATACTTTTAACTGGGGGTTCCCAGGTGGCTCAGTGGTAAAGAATCTGCCTGACAAGAGGGCAGGCTGGATCCCTGGGTCGGGAAGATCCCCTGGAGTAGAAGATGGCCACCCACTCCAGTATTCTTGCCTGGGAAGTCCCAGGAAGAGAGGATGTGTTGGGCTACAGTCCACAGGGTCGCAAAGACTCGGACATGACTGAGCGTGTACTCAGGCAACACTTTTAAACCATATAAAACTCTGACTTCTTACAGAAAAACTATTTACAAGAATTCAAGAAGCTCAAAAGTCAACTAGTTTCATAAATACGTGCATCATCCACCTGACCAGGCAGCAAGTGTACAAATGCAGGCTGGCCGGGTGGCTGGTACCTTCTCGTCCAAGGCCTTGTGGTGCTCAAATAGAAACTTCAGCGCCCTGAGCACCTCAACCTCGCTGGTCATGCCGGCTGGGGACCGCGCCTGATGCCTCTCCACCGTCATCTGGAGGGACGGCATGTACCGGGAAACCAGGAGCTCCAGGTGCTCCAGCAGCAGCTGCAGGGCGGGGCCAAAGGGGCACCTTCAACCTCACGCTTGAATTCAGGGCCGAGAACTCCTCTCAGCCTCACACTAAAGCTAAAACCATGCTAAGGCGCGTCGGAATCCCGCCAGTTCAGTCTAAAGTTAGAGTGGACTTCCCCAGTGGCCCAGGAGTTAAGACTCCACACTTCTGCAGGGCTCATGGGTTTTAATCCCTGGTCGGGGATCTAAGATCCCACATAAACTGTAGCATGGCCAAAAATGTAAGTTAAGAGAACTCCCCCCTCAAATGTACTGAAATTGCATTAGCTCTCATCATAAATTTGAAGCAAACTATGAGAACCCCAAGCTGATCCACCTCGGTCTGCCCAGTGGGAGGATGTGAAAAATGACTTGAAAACCAGACAGACTTTAAAGACAGCAACACGGAGCCCAGCGGTGAGCCCCGCGGGCACAGGTCAGCACGGGAGACTCCGCCTACTGACCCTGGTGTTGTTCCTCTCTGCTTTCAGCTCAGCAAGTTCTTCTTCTCTGGCAAGAAGCTGCTCCCTGCACACCTTCAGTTCTTCACTAGATGTTGCCAACTCCTAGAAAACAGTTAAATGAGGAAATAACTAAATGCAAACACAAATGAAAAAGAGAGTGAGACCCTGAAGGCTGACTCTATCAAGTCTCTCCAGGCTCCACACAAAGGATCTCCCTGTCCCTCCGGAGAAAAGGGGGTCCGCTGACCCCAAGACCACACAGACCAGCACAACTCAGACTGGCCTTCACCCTCCACCTCGACCTGGCAGGCACGCGGAGAAGAGAACCCGGAATCCAGCCTGCCTTCTCCAGACCCAGGGAAGTCTGAGAAACTTTCCTAAACATAAACCAAACAACAAAATGGATAAACAGATTCTTAAATGACACGCAGACAAGTGACCTAGGACCCCTGGGGAGAGTGAAGAAGAAAGGTAAGATCTACAAGGCCACCAGGTTTTGGAGTGTTCCTCTGGGAAAGAGGCTGATGGCACACCAAGGCCATCTGTTAGCTTGACTCCACTGAAGTCACCCAGTCATTCAATAAACTAGTGCCCTTTCTGTCAGTTTTGAGTGGCCGGTGTGGTGGTAATTAAAATTCCTTTTCCTTCCATGTGTTTATCCAGTTGTTCCAACATCATTTGTTGAAGACTTTCTTTTCTCATTGAATAATATTACTGCCTTTGTTGAAATTCAGTTGACCATATACATGTTCCATTTCTGGACTCTATATTGTGTTCCATGGATCTATTCATTTTCTATCCTGTGCCAGTACCACGTTGCATTGATTGTGTGCGTATGTGTCAGCCCTGTTCCCCTCTTAGCGACCCCAGGGACCGGAGTCTGCCAGACTCCTCTGTCTGTGCATGTCCCAGGCAAGAATACCGGCGTGGGTTGCCATTTCCTCCTCTAGCAGATTTTCGGACCCAGGATGGAACCGAGTCTCCTGCTGCTCCTGCACTGGCAGGCAGATTCTTCACCACTGAGCCTCCTGGGAAGCTTGTTGCCTTGATTACTGTAGCTTTATAGTGACTGTTGAAATCAGGTCGTTTAAGTCCTCCAATTGTTCTTTTTTCCCTCCTTTGTTTTTCCATATAAGTTTTATATAAATTAGAAATATTTAATTTAAAAAGTCCTGCTGGGATTTTAATCGATATTGCATTGAAAGTGATGATTGACAAGAATTGACATTTTAACAATACCGAGTCTGCAATCAATGAGATGGTTTTAGTTTAGACCTCTCTTATTTAATCTTGACAACATTTTGTAAGCTTTCTGTGTACAGATTGTATACATCTTTTGTAAATGCATTTCCAAATGTTTTTGATGCTACTTTCAGTGGAATGGTTGAGATTATTGGTTTTTATTTTCAATCCATGGGTCCCAGAGAGTGGGACATGACTGACTGAGCATGTTTTAGACAACTTATGCTTTTTTCCAGGTGGAGAACCTCAGCCTTATAATTGACATGTTTATTCTAGTTACATCCATTGTTGTATATGGTTTGCCACAATTTCTTCATTTTGCCTTTTTTTAAAAAAATATTTTCACTGGGTATCAATGAGTAATGAGTCAACAGGTTTCTTTTACCACTTTAATTCTTAGCTCCATTGTTTAAGTCTGTTGTCATTCATTGGTCTTTTGAATGCAAAAATAAAATTTTTATGCACAAAATTTTCTCTCTGTTACTATGATGTGTCCAGGTGGTGTTTTCTTTATATTTATCTTTCCTTGGGGTTTTCTAAGCTTTTTGAAATTGTAAGTTGGTGTTTTGCACTACATTTCAGAAAATTACAGCCATTTTTTTCCCCTCATTTTTTCAGTTATTTCTTTCCAGTCTTCAATTTCAAATATATTCCATGGTGTTGTCCCGAAGGTCACCAAGACTGTTCCCTGTTTTCTTTCAGTTGTTTTAACCTCTGCTCTTCAGATCTATCAAATCTCTCTTCAATTTCACTCATTATTTCTTCTGCAGTGTTCAAACTCTGTTCGTAACATTCAAGTGAATTTTTAATTTCAGATAATGGAATTTTCTGTTCTAAAATTTCCTTTTGGTTCTTGTTTTATAGTTATCACTGCTATGCTGAGATATCCTAGCTTTCATTTTATTAATTTTCTACAGACCAAACATATATTTTAAAGCTCCCAAAAGAGATTCTATTGTGAATTAGAGGTTAGAACCAGTAAAAATATATAAACTTTACCTGGAAGGAAGAGATATGTAATGAGAAGCATCAATAACAGAAAATGTTACAATCCCTCTGTCCATGGCATTCTCCAAACAAAAATACTGGAGTGGGTTGCCATTTCCTTCTGGAGCAGATCTTCCCAACCCAGGGATTGAACCTGAGTCGTCTGCATTGCAGGCAGATTCTTTACTGTCTGAACCACCAGGAAAGTCGACACAGAAGGTATTATAGCTTATTTACGAAGAAGTCTAAAGGGAAACCCAAAGACAATAGAGAATAGATTAATGAGCACAATAAGGGAATTTTAGTCTCTGACAGCAACCTCTACCGTAAACCCTTTCTCCTAGCCAGACAAAAATAAAACCTCACCCTAAAGTCCTAGTTAGCTCAGTTCCTTTAACAGGTACATCATGTCTAACTTTAAGCAAAAAATTATATGGCATACTAAAAGTCCAAAACCAAAAACATTCATTGTGTTTTAAGAGATAGAGCCAGCACCAGAATGAGACACATACGGTGGAGATGTTGGAATGATCACATCGTGAATTTAAAACAACTAGGAATAATATGCTAATGATTCTAATAGAAAAGTGGGCAACAAGCAAGAACAGATAGGAAATGGAAGCAGGGAGATGAGTAACAAAAAATGCCACAATGTGACAGAAATAAAAGGTGCTTTTCATGTGGTCATGAATAGAATCATTGGAAGGGGAAGCATCAGTGAGCTTGAATCAATGTCAACAGAAACTTAGAAACCTAAGTACAAAGGGGAAAACAAAAGAATTTAAAGGGCAGAACAGAATATTCAAGAACTGTAGGACAATTTAAAAAGGATGTAACATAAACATGAGGGGAATACCAGAAGGAAAAGGAAAAAAGAAGAAAAGTATTTGAGGAAATAATTACTTCAAATTTTCGAAAATTAATGATAGACAGCAAACCACATATGTAGGAAACTAGCAGAACACCAAGCAGGAAAAATATCCAAAAAATTCTATGCATAGGCATATCACACCCAAGCTACAAAATACCAAAGAAAAACGGAAAATCCTAAAAGAAGCCGGAGGCTCCAGAGGAAGGGGATATGTGTATATATAGCAACTGCTGATTCAAGATGCTGTGCAGCGGAAACTAACACAACATTGTAAAGCAGTCTGACTCCAATTAAAAAAAATATATGGTTTCATGATTGATTGTGAGTAAACTGAATTACAATTCTAAAAAAGAAGGAGAATCCTGAAGGAAAAAGTATTTTACCTGCAGAAGATAAAGAATAAGAATTGCAGAAAACAAGAAGAAAGTGGGGTAAAATACTTAAGGTGTGAAAGGAAAGAAAATCCCACCAACCTAGGGTTCTATGTGGAAGAAAATTATTCTTCAGAAGTAAAAGAGAAGTAACAACTTTCTCAAACAAACAAAAATTGAGGAAACTCATGGCTCATAGACCTGCCTTGCAAGATATGCTTTTAGGAAGTTGCTTTGTTTTGTTTTGTTTTTCCAGGAAGAAAGGAACTGATAGACGTCAGAGACTAACATTTGCATAGAGAAAAGCGCTTTAGAGAAGGAATAAAATAAGGTAAATTTTTTAAAAAGGCATTTTAAAATCTTTTACTTATTGTTTTGAAAGAAGGTCTATATATTCAACAGTTCTTTATTGAAAACCGACTATGGACCAGTAACTATTGAGACTCTGGATAGCCAGAATGTCATCCTGGAGCTTATCCACTAGTGAATATAATCACAAAACACTTTCTGATTCTTCAGTGACAACTATATTAATTATATTGCTATGAAATTTGATTATTTCATTCAGATTAGAGATAAACTATATTCTAAGGTTACTTATTCTCATTTGATCCAACAAAAACTCTTGAGTGAAGTTGCTCAGTCCTGTATGACTCTTTGCGACCCCATGGACTGTAGCCCACCAGGCTCCTCTGTGCATGGAATTCTCCAGGCAAGAATACTGGAGTGGGTAGCTGTTCCCTTCTCCAGGGGATCTTCCCAACCCAGGAATCAAACCCAGGTCTCCTGCATTGCAGGCGTCTTTACCATCTGAGCCACCAGGGAAGCCCATTTAATGTGACAGATAATAATTTGTTCAAAGTGATACTAGCCAAAATGTATGTAGTGATGATAACTTCTTGATAAGTAAATGCATGAAAGCAGTATTGTGAAGGATGGGAGGAAGGGATTGGGATACCATTGCTA